CCACACGCCTCAATTTCTCGTTTGCAATCTTGTTGCCCACACTATGGCCATGAAAAACGTTGTTATTGAATTGTAGTTTTGCTAATAATAATGGGAAAGTTAGCTCAATTTAAATGATAATATTCAATATTTCCAAGCATTTGAACTGTCCAAATAGAAACCTTAATAGCTTTGCTGCAATGTTCATTGTAGTCCTCCTCAGAATGACCCTGAATATGAGCATTACAAATTGGAGGTTAATTTGGTTTTGCAGCAGTCAATGTCAGATGTTTTTGGTTCTGGCCCTGGCTATGGAATTAGTATTGAGAAAGAAGGACAAATATACCAAATGGTGTATAAAAAAAATTCTGAAGTGCAGGTAAAACATTTTAGTGCATTGTTTTTCAAACGTTACATCCACCAGTGCATTTAGACAGAAAAAAGTGTTTCAAGACCTTGCTACACCTACGCTTGCTAGTGGCATTGCCTAATATTCTTGCAAACCCCTCTTCTGTGGAATTGTAGAAACAGATTGTCAATTATCTTATGGGAAAATGGGCAAAGGTCTTAGAGAACCTCATGGTGCATTATCAGACTTTGAGATCAGAGTACAGATTCATTAGCAGCGAGGCATGCAGACATTTCAATGAACCCAGTTAACTCTATGCACCTTATCAGAAAAGATAAATGTAGAAAAAGATGGCTAATACCAAGATAGGGTGAAAACTGAAGTGTTGGATGATAGCTTTAAGACAAAGATACCCGAACTTATCCTTGGGAAGTTCTCACAGCATCTTCGAACATGTTCTAAAGGGGTATAATTACTTTATAGAAGGTTTTTCTTTGCTCTATCTTTCCATACTGAAACTGCCATAAACGTAGATAGTGAATGTAATAAATTAGGCAATCATAACCGCATGTAGCCTTCTGAAGGACATGGTGCATATTAAGTTTCAAGGACACATTATTACAGTGTTTTATTCTGAGGAAAGAAATAACCAAAGTGCGTATAAGTCTATTTGGACCCTTTCAACTTTTAAACCCATGTGCACTGAGTACTAGAAATTACTTAAGTGGCCATCATTATTTAAATTGATCCAGGGATGGCGCACACAATCTCATCTGTGTTCGATATAGCATTTGGTGTGTCCAACCTATTCTCATTTAAAGTTTGATCATGCCTGTGGACTTGAGTTTGCCCTGCAATCTCTTTTTCAATCTTCTAGGGACTTGGAGAGTTGAAAGAGGAGATGGACAGCCTTCTGGCAGAGAGACAGAAAATAACCTGTCAAAGCTGCAAGCCGAGTAAAGACTGTCTCTTAAAACACATGTCAAATGAATAGAAGAGCAAGATGGGAAAATAAAGGAAAGAGCACGATGAAAAGTTGGACAACATGCCCTGTGCCATGTCTTTCACAGACACACCAGAGACCGTAAATCCACCACGCAAACACACATTTTCCTCGCAGTGTTGTCAGAATGATTGGCCAAGAGTCAGAATCCTTTATATCCTGTTTAGTTCTCTTGGAGGTAGTTGTCCCACATTTTCCATGACTGGATCAAACCCACTTTCTTTGTCTATCTTACTCCCACTCACAATAGCCATTTCACACACTCATCACTGTGTTTCTTGCTTTGAACTTTGCTGGTGCGTTGCCAGTTCCAGCTCTCTGCTTATGTTAAATCGCCCTTTACGATGCCTTTTTTTTTCCTCTACTCCTCTATCAGTGCTCTCACTACAAGCAAAGTGCACCCTCATCTCAAGGGCAGCATAGCTGAGTTGATCTCAAATACAGAACAGAAGCATTGTGTTCATTGACATGCTTGTGCTTTTGAGAGGGTCTTCGGGCTATGAAATAAAATGTGCAGCTAACTGGTTTATGTGTTTTTCTGTTTGGGGAAAACAAAATAGGAAAAGAGATGGCAGCCCCAAACTTCATCCACTTCTACTATAGCCAATTTAGCACAACCTATTTGCTGTGTCGCTGGGCCGGTAGAAGATAAGGAACTAAAGGTGGCTGTCTACTTCGTCTTTGACCAGGCAGCCGACTATGTGGACTAGAATTATAATTAGTTTTTATCCATAACCTATGAAGGTTAAATCATCAGACAATAAAACTTCTTTGCATTCATGCAGTGTAGGTTTTGTGCACCCGTGTTATGCATGTGCAATGGCTATTGATTCAAGTCATTTCTACAGTACGAGGCAGCCTGCTATAAATCTAAGCTTTTGACATCTCCATAATGTAAGGTTTCTTATTCATACTGTTTCTCAGGTGTATTGATTCAATTTTGCCATCATTTCACATAGTGTTTGTGTGTTAGTATTTATCAAAGTGTATGTGTAGTCAGTCAGTGTAGTTTGTTGTTATGATGTATGGATCTGTTGTTTTTGCCACATTCAATTAGATTTGTGACTGATGCACCTGAGTTTTGGTCTAGTTTCCCATCGAAAACATTCAATATAAAAAAACTAAATGTCTGGGTAAGTTTCGACCCTGAGTCCATAAGTATTTGTCTGCCAATACCAAATCCAACCCTTGGGATGGTCACAGGACAACTGTAATAAACAATATGAAAAATACGATGATTGTGAGACCTTTTATTAATGGTGAGAAAATAATATTTGCTTATAAATATTCCTTGTTGGATATTGTGTGTGTAGCTTCCAGTCTATTTGGGTTAGGTCCCCTAGATCAGGGTTACTCAAACGTTTTTATTAAAGGTCCACTTGTGAACTTTATACAATGTCACTGGTCCGGATCAATGCCAGTAAAGTCACCCCCCCCCCCCCGGAGCGGAGAAACGAAACTGAAATTAAGGCCTAGGCTCCACGGGAACGAAAACGGGTTGAATCCGCATATTTCTCTTGCGTATAGCCCTTTAAGCTCGACGACGCCGTAACGGAACGGTAGAAACGGACCCTGCAAACGACAACGGGTCCAAAGGTGGATAGATCTGGGAACGGAGCACTCTGGGGGGTCCAACGGGGCCGTGTGGTAGCCTATACGGTCATCCGTTTCTGATAATGACGACGCAATAGCCCCGCCTCTCCCCACCTCTCCCCGCCTCTCCCCACCTCTGCTGCTCACCCCCGCAAAAGTACACTGCACACTGAATTCAGATTATTTATCTTTATCTCGATATGGACATAAACGCGAGTGAAGTCTAATCTGACAGGACGGAGACACGCAGCTCCTCCCGCTGCATCACAGCGGGAGGAAAACACACACTTCAAGTCGGATCATCACCCTTAGCTATTTTAATTACCTCTCAAACTACCTAAACTAGTTATAAATATGTTTATTTTTACTGTCGGGTTTACTTACTGGATCAGCTGCTGCATGAGGAAGCATGAAGATTTAAACTTTAAGACACGTTGACCGGCGAAAAACTCTGCGCGGTTCCCTCGGCCCCCACCGCGGAGAATAAACAGAAGTGCAGCCATGACAACCATTCTTCTTCGCTGCTTTTGTGGAGGAAGTTGCTGCTTTTGTGGAGGAAGTTACAGCGCCACGTACAGGCTCGGCATATGTACTGCAGCTTTTCCAGCGGTTGGATCTAAACGGAGCTGTCTCGTGTAGCTTGACACAATCCGGTGTATATTGCGCGTGGGCGGAAGCTTTTTGGCGTTTGCGTTTGCGTTACTCCTATGCGTTTTGCCGTATGCGTTCCCGTGGAGCCGGGGCCTAAGAAGCAGTTTCTTACGGCGCGCTATGCATGGGGCCCCCTTGAGGGGGTTTCCCGACATGTCGTTGCAGTAAATTAAAGGGTGTTTCATGTTGTCGTTGCTGTGGACCTTCTTAATCTACCTTCTTTGGGGGCCCCCTTCTGGTCCAAGCACTTGCCTGCCTTGCCTGTCGGCAAACGGCGCCCCTTTATACACTCACACATTCAATACATACATACAGTATGGTGGCTTGAACTAGTGGGAGAAATGGCACTGTTTGTCTGTAGCCAATGCCTTGAACCTCGGCAAAAAAGGCATTAGAAGCATTAGAAAGTCAAGGTAAACTTGCGGTTAACTTGCGGTCTGCAATGAGTGTCACGCTCGCGCACACAAGTAAATATATATGCATGTTAATTCTCACTACGCGTCAGACACAAGACGCGTGTACATAATGATGTACATTAATTTATCAGAATCAGAATTCTTTTTTTTTTTTTTTTTTTATAATTTTTTTTTTTATATAATGGGACACAGGGTTCGGTCCGGATTGATTTGCAGTTCGGTCCGGATCTGGACCTTGGTCCGGAGTTTGAGAAGCCCTGCCCTAGATACTTCAAAATGAGACATTTCTGTTACTTCTTCCCTGTTACCCGTGTGTCCGTTAGAGTATCAGTTACATAACCAGGCACACAATGGGTATTTAACAGATATCCACCTGAGGCTAATGTTAACCCTTGGAAAATGTCCAATGGATGCAGATAGATGCATCTTTCCCTTTCAGAGTTGGACAGTTAAATGGGAGGATCACTTCCTCTTCTCGTTTCTTCTGAAGAAAAATGACTAAATCCCTATCCAGGTTACAAAAGCTGCTCTGTATTTTGGTTTATTTCAAACCTTATAAGATCATTTTTTGTTCCAATGATTTTAATGTCCTTTCTTAACCAATAATCCAGGTATAACGTTCTCCAGATAAACCACCTGGTTAAACTCAGTTTGCTGTTAAATGACTGTCTACTACTGTATATGGGTGCATTGTGGCTTATGGTTCATTTCATCATATTTGTGCAGTGTATACAAGCAGGCACATATAGAAATAAAAAGGATGAAGAAACTTTCCTTTCTTCCTTGATTTTAAAACACATACTATGTCAGACAGTGTTAAGATGAAATGATCACGCAATCCACCCCCCGAGTTATTTATTGTTTGAGACAGTGAATATGTCCCAAGGATCTTTGAACTTTTTAAGGACAGCACTTTTGTATTTGAGATGATTTTTCTGGCATACTTAACTCACTTACCTGTAAACCAAGGGACACAAGTTAGTGACTCAGGATGGTAAATGTCAACATGTGAATAAAAAGTTCTCCAATATTTATTTTTCAGAATTTCCATAATATCATTTAAACTTTCCAACACACAAATACAGTATAAAGCAAAGTTGTAACTTACTTGCATTCATTCATGTGACTCACATTGTACTTTTTAACACACCTTACGTTATTACTTTACAGCTGGGTATAAAAGATTGTGCTCAGGCTGTTATCAGCGTGGCTCAGGTTGCACCATGACCCCACCTTCTAATGTATTTTTACACGCTGAATTTTCTTTCGATGAAAGGACAGCAAACAATGGGGAGAACAAAATGAGGTCGTGAACGTTGTGAGTTAGAAAAATCGGGAATATCCCTTTTTTTTTTATGTAGGGATGAAACACTGATAATACTGACATATGTTAGTGTTGTAAAAATAAGAAAACAGTCATTTCTAGTAGAAATTCAGTCATTAAGTCTAATTTTACATGGCGCAAAAGTTGACAATACCTTATGCTTTTTTCGGCCACAAAGCAATCAGGTTTGTGGCCATAGCAAATCTTTAAGGTTGACTGTCCACATTGTAATTTAAAAGTGGCCAGATTGGGTTTGTGTATTTTAGACTTTGGTCAATGTTGCACTAATGTGTCACCATAGTGATGGCACACAAATGCACACGCTGACTGTGTCATTGCAGCTGTTATAAAAACCATACACTTAAAACCTGATTGAAGGTCCGAGTTGAATTCTATGAAGGTAATTTAAACAGCTTTTCATACCACTTACCATACAAATATGACAGGTGTAATCATGTGTTTTTCTTTCATTATGCAAACAAAACAGAATGAAGCTGTCTTTACACAACTTTGGAATAGAATACAAATGTAAATGTTAATGTGAAACATACTCATATAAACTGAAATTCTGTTAAAAAGTGGTTTTGAATTTTACAAAGTAAACTTTACAATGTATATACAATCATGTCTTCCAATGTAAACAATTCATATAGTCTGTCTTTTTACAATTGTGAAAAAATAAATAAAACCAAATTCACAGCAAAACATAATATATTACTTTTATGATATGAAATGTACTTTATTAAAAGGTGTAGATGTTGTTGTTGAATGTGGCTTAGTTTGGGCTAATTGTGGACTTTGTTTAAGGAGAGTTTAACCATCTGTCTATCCGTCATTAGCCACACAGCAGACATCGTTCAGTTCTCTATTGTCTCTTGTGCTCACATAAACAAAGCAGGTTTTAGGCCTTAAAGACTAAAACAAGGAGGTTATTCCTGAACTTGTACGCCCCAACCTCCCAGAAGAATTTGCCTGGATACCTCCTCTTCTCCCATATCTTCCTCCTCCTTTTTGAGACCCGTCCTGGTCCAAGGATAGTTAGTCTTTCTGTATTCACAACTGTCTTTTGATGCATTTCCAAGAGGGATCGCAGGCATCCAGCTTTCTTTGTAACCTGTTTCAAACATGGTATCTTTAGATGTGTTCTGACATCCCTGTGGGAAATAAGAAGCAACTGGTTGAGAGGGGGAGAAGTGAGTGTTGCAGTAGGGCTGGGTTGGGGTGTGTACACTGCCATCATCAAACCCTGAGTCCGACCACTTTGAGCTGTCAAAGCTCTGCAATCTGTCCAATGATGGCTGCCCCGTCTTGGAGTCTATGAGGTCAGATAAAAGAGGTTTTCTCTCAGAGTTAAGAGGTGATACAATGTCATCTGTGCCGCTCTGTAACTGAAACATGAGTGAAGGCAACACAAGTTGTCCATTTGTGTCCCGCTCTGTTTGCAACAGCAGGGGTCTGGCTGGATTGTTACTGGGTTCTCTTTTGTCGTTAGCCTGCTGAAAGTCTTCATTCTGGGTAGCAGGGACATGGACAGCTACTGCACCGTAGCTCTCTGACGATTGGCCGCCGGTGTTCTCGTGTTTTGAGGTCACACTGTCTGCACTTGTCTCCACAGAAGAGCAATCGCTGTCTTGCCAGGGGACGTCCTGGGGGGAATAACCTCCAGGCCCAACTACAGGCCTATTTGTCTCCACTCTAACTGTTGAGTAAACTGTTCGTTCACTTTGAACGTAGATCTCCGGTTTGGAAATAACGATATTCCTATCTGGAGACGACAGAACTCTTTGTGGGGAGCTGAAGGTGGATACCTGTTTTTTAAGAAAATACAGAGAGACCAATTCAGTTCAAAGGGTTCTGGATTTTTGTTGCTAAATAAACCTATTTCCATTTGATTCGAATGTACTGATACAGAAAAGATACATTTTCATATGAATGAAAACATTTACCATTATTGGTAAAAAAAGAAAACCAAATGAAATTCTTAAAACAAATAAATGCCTTTATCTCCAGACAACACTTTATCCAACACTGAAAGCCCCATGAGTCATTGAAAACACAATTTAACATGGCTAAAACAACATCCGCAGATATTCAATGTCTTTAATTACTTTCTCTTTGCTGTGTCACACACGAACCTTGAACACGTGTACAGTAATCAAAGTGCCAGAGGGCTTCATTTCCCAGTAAGGCAACATTTCCTTGTTGGCACTTCAAAGAAAACATTAGGAAATAAACATCTTACCAATAGCTTGCTCTTTTCCTTTCCAGCCTTCACGTAGTTGCACATATACACAACTGACACTATGATTATGGTCGTCAGTAGAGCAGCACTCACAAGAAGCCATGGCAAAAGCATCAGAGGATCATCTGAGGAAGAAGAGAGTTGCTTTAAAGCCAGTCCAGGAAATCACACACGTAAAATTTGAACCCTCAAGCGACAAGTTCAAAAGTTTTCCATTGCGACACACAAGCTTAGGCACGTTATCGGGGAGTAGCACTGTAGCATGCCTGTGTGACATAGGACTGTTGATTAACCATTATATATATATATATATATATATATATATATATATATATATATATATATATGAACTTCTCAGAAGTACTTATGTTGGTGAACAGGATCTTATCCAAACAGAAATCTTCACAGCAACATATAGAAGTGGAAATCCCCGCAGCACCTGTGTAATATATATGTATAATCTTGCCTGAAGCTGTCAACATTTGTTATTGTCAGTTTTACCAGTAGAATAATAAACAATAACGCAAACTAAGGTCAGGAAAATGAGTGTAATCGAATCTAATGTAATCTTATCAGTATCAAATTCAATCAAATAAAGCACACTTAAAAACGGTTTTTGGTCGAGCCAAAGTGCTGTACATGTAATAAAAGCACACTACAATAACATAAGAAAAACAAAATAGAAAAGACAAGAATATACAACAGAAATATAAAGACAAAACACAGAGAAATGTCAGGTGTCATGCTCGGCTCTGACTAGAAGGCCAGAGAGAAGAAGTGTGTCTTCAGTGAAGATTTAAAAATAGTATGACAGCAGCACAGGGAGCGGTCACCACCCAAAAACCACCAAAAGTGTCTGCCTGTTTTTAACAATTAAATGTGCCTATTTGACCATGTTCAGGAAGGCTTGGTGAATAAAGCAGGGACTGGTTTATAAAATGAGAATGGTTTATAACAACCTGTCTTGATACAATCCTAAACACTTGTTTCTGAGTGGCTATAATCACTTGAGGAGAAGAGCACAGAGTACTTCAAGTCAAACATAGAAAATGCAACATTTTCAACTATCACTCAAACATTTTCTGCTGTGGAGAGTTTTCTCCACAGCAACTGCTCCTTGATAGTTTCCCAGGAAAATGTTCACTGTTATACTGCTGCTTTTTTAAAACTATGATAGCATTTAATCTGCATCAGTCAGGTTTTCAGAAAGGTAAATACAGTTATTAATTTAAACAAATTGGATTAGAAACTGGCAGTTGTTTTTCAATGTATACAAAAAGAGCATTTAGTGGATACAATGAAACATATGCAGCAGCAAACAAATCATCCGCATGAAGTTATATTAATATTGTTATCAGTATACTTTGTACTTCTCGCAAGAGTGTGTAAAAGGAATACAAGTTAGATTCATCTTCCTCACCTGGCAGTTTGACACAGAACGTAGCATTTTCACTCTTCAACCGTCCCTCAGTGGACGGCGTGTAGAACACGTTGCCGCAGTACTCTGTTTGGTTGTTCTTCAAGTTGATCACAAACCGGCCAGTTGTGGTGACATTAACCTGGTGACACAAGGACATACAGATGTTAATGTAACTGTAACAAGAAGAACAAACTACTTTAAGCTAGGTACGTTGAATACAGCTTCGTGCCATCAGAGCTATTTGCAGAGGAGCGCAGTGACCGTGTCTAAATATCTTGGGCAGAGTGCGCGCAGTTATGCATGTAGACGGGCGGTATGCGATCCAATCGATTCATACGGGCAGAATGAAATGATAGGAGGGGTTTACTCGTGGCCTGCGACAGCCACAGATAAGGGATTTGATTTATTGATTGTTGTTGCGATGTAAACATTTTAACACATATAACATAAATGCTTCTAAAAATGAATTGCGTACCAAAGCTTTAAAACAACAGGTAAACCTTGGGGATGGATAAAAGAAAGTCATTCTACATCACAGCTTGAAGACCAAATACTTTAAATTAACTTACTGTAAGTCTATAGATGATTAGGTTTGTCTAATGCAAAAATCATTAATTGGTATGTTTGTCAATTTATGTTACATAGCATTTCTACTAATATGTAGCATACAATCGGCATTCCTGTAATTATATTATATGTGATGGCTTGTATGATTATATGATGGCTGAAGGAATTTCTGAACAGTTTATTTTATAAATGGAGACCTACCCGTGCAGCCCACTTTGGCTTGATGATGTTTAAGGTATAACGGATTTGAACTTCTTCAGGTCCTTTTTTGCTTTTGATGATTATGTCCTCGACTGACTCTCCATTTGGCCCCAAGGGCAGGGTGACGTTAACGTGCAAGGATGACACGGTTGTGTGTTTAAACAAGATTGGTGGACCAAAGATAGCTGTGGAGGCAAAGAAAGATAAATACATTTATGTTGCAGTAGAATACATCTGGCTTTGACAAAAGCAAGAAATGCATGATCAAGCGTGGAGATTCTTACTTTGTGCTATCGGTTTAAACTTATGGCTGCCTCGTAAGCTACCATTGGAGAACACCTGAGCCCGGTATTGAACGTCATAAACTGATGGGGTCTCCGCCGTCAGGTCACAGAACAGATCAGTAATGTTCTGACACTCCTTTTTTATCTGGAATTGCTGATAGTCTGTATCACTGTAAAATAAGTGGAGTAAAATATGGTTAAAAACTGAATGAGCAGGGCAGTGTAACACTTTAGTTTAACTGGTATCAAATCGAGAAAAAATAACTTAAATGTGCTGTGTGTAATTTAATCAACCATATGATTGTGTAACACACGTAAAAAAAGCACAGCATTGTTTAGCAACCAGGAAATGATATTGAGTGAGCAGCATTTTCCTATGCAGCTGGGTTGATGCTTAAAGTCCAGCTAAAACATTCCGTGACCGTGGAAGGGACAAAAGAAAATAATACGATAGGTGTGGTGTTTGACATTTTTCTGGGAGACTGCGTCATGTGTAATTACATGCAATCACACTCGCAGTTGTAGAAGCTGAGTCTAATAAGGAAAGAAAGACACCAGGGTGTCCGCGGGGTCTTAAAAAGTATTAAAAGTTCATAAATCAATTTAGCGAAAATTAAGGCTATTAAAAAGTATTAAACTGCATTTTCTAAGGTATTACATTTTGTAGCTTGTTTTCAATAAGTATATAAATTGTCCAAAGAGGTTGTATTCTACAGTCTGCCTGAATGTATTCATTGCGTAGGTGTGTAGTGTGATTCTGTGTAGTTTATTTATGGCATCCCGTTGGATTTGACGTCATCTGAACAGGACATCGCACGCTCACTGCTTGATAGCGCGCGAAGGCCCGTCTATGCCGGTTGTTTTAACATCGTTATGGGGAAATGCAAGTTTGCGTCCAAATGGTTGGAAGATCAGGAGGAAGGACAATCAATACTGAATATAATAAATGTGAGGTAAAGTGTGTCGCCAATGTAACCGGTTAAAACTCAAAGTGGCGATGAGGTCTTAAAATGTATGGAAAGGGTCTTAAAAAAGGTCTTGAAAGGTATTACATTTGGCTTCAGGATTCCTGCATATACCCTGGACACATATTGCTGCTCTTTACCATTACGTCTAATCTATTGCTACTGAAGTTAAAACCTAGCAGCATAGTGCGCTTCAGTTTTTCAGCAACACATTCATTAAGCCAATACACCATTTCTAGAAGAGATAGAGTGTTACAATTCTGCAAAAGAAAGCAAAAGAAAAATCACCTTTTTACTTGATTTTACATGGATACCATTCCTAGATTTAAAATTGTTCAATTCCCATGGAAAGACCAGAACCAACAATGACTTGTCCCATGGTCACATGTGTATATATATAACGTCAAATGAAGTGAGCACCATTGTCTACAACATGCTCATTTGACAGTGCCTTGACATTGCCACTATAACTAAGGGCTAACAGAGTGTTTACCCTGCAAACACAGTTTCCTGCCCTCCACTCTTTATTGATCTCTTCACGGAGTCACATGGAGGGCAATGGAAGTATAGGAGTACAATCTCATCCTTCATCCCAGGTCTTACTTGCAGTACTGGACGCTATAGAGGGCCTTTTCCCCGGGGAAGGCAGGCTCCACAGGATCCCAGTGCAGTATGTTGTAAAAGTTCTTGGAGACAAAATACACTCTTCCATCGCAAGTTAAAAGAGAAGCTGTTGGAAAAAGATTTTGCAAATGAGAAAAGTATTTTATGTCGGATGTTGATTCCAAGCTTGTTCTCATTAAGTCTGGTTTCAATTAAAAACATATTCATAATTTTTATAATTAAAAATCCTGACGGTTTTTCTTTTAATATATTGTGTTGTACATTTTTTATATTTTGCATTGTGTTGACTTTGTGCTAAGTGAGTACGGACACTATTCAGTAATAAGCTATAGAGAACCTTTTACACTCGCATTACACTTCTCTTTTATCTAGGTTGCAGCTCAAATGTTCCCAGCACATACAGTTACAAAAAAAAAAAACAGCATCCTCAGCCATTGCTGTTTCCCAATATCTGAGGTTCTTTGTTTGGACCTTTTAGAGTAAAGCGATACAGCACACATACACTAGAAATATCCGGGACCACAGGGAGATTATGAAAGATGGAGTTTGTTTCTGCTTGTGGCTGAAACTGAAAAACGCTCTGTTATTTGATACTCTTTCGTGTTGCCATACACAGGAAAGGGATGCAGGAAACAGCCTGTATTTTAAAGCTTGAGTTACAAGAACCACATTGTCATGATGAAAAGTCATGTACAAGGCGCGCGTGATTTACTAAACCAGGGCTTGTTACATCTTAATGTTATAGCCCATGTAGTTTATTATAAGAGAGACAAGTTGAGAATGACATACAGAGGAGTCAATTTAAAATTTGCATTTTTATAAGCTTCAAAATGACATTGTCAATATTAGACTAGACTGCTTCTAAAATGAAATAGCATTTACATTGATCACTATCATTTATAAGCGTTATTGTATTGTTGGTATTATTATTTTTCCTAGAAGAACTACTTTGTAATGTTAATTTGCTCAATCAAAACATACATTTGTATGAGCTCCATGTACTCACCATAGCAGAACAGAAGCAGGATGATGACATTCAGAGACCACATCTTCATTTGGTTTCTGGGCCACGGGAAAAAAACAAACAAAGTCCTACTCTGAAACTCCCGCCGCTAAATTGTGAGTTCTTAGCAAAAGTGACATAAATTCCACACGACAAAAAAAGAGACTAAATCCAAAATAAAACTCTCCAAAATCCCCTCAAAACAAAACCAGAGTGGCTGTCAGAAGGGCTGTAGAATCTTAAAGCTGTGAAGGAGTTGACTTTGTTTATCTGACCTCCGCCTCACAACCATCTTTGATACTCTCTGGGAAAGGAGTGGCTTTGCTCAGGTGTGCGCTGCAGGTGTACTTTGGAATATGTTATCGCTTTGTTCCGGTTTTTCTGCTTACTTTATGTTCCGCCTACTTTTATTCTCTCTCCATACTTCCCTTTTTCTTCCCTCCTCCTTGAGTTTCTCTCTCTCTCTCTCTCTCTCTCTCTCTCTCTCTCTCTCTCGTCTTTCAGGTTATTCGTGGTGTCAAGAGATTACAGGAAATGACTCTCAACTGCAAAATAAAGAAAGTGAAAGAACATGCTTATACACACATTGGGGGCTAACGCGTGTATATATGGTTAAAAAACCATTGTGTACATAAATCATAAACAACCTGATATCGGCTCATGTTATCACACCGTTTTAGTGAGTAGCAAACTAACATCTAAAATAATAAATGCATGAATAGGCCATTAAATTATGTTCTATTATGAGAGTAATCATTAAAAACGCACTGGGGGAGACATGCTTTGTTTTGCCCTGATGTGAACCTCATATGCAGACTTAATTTCAGTTTTTTCAGTTATTATTAATTGGCTTTTGTACACACAAACAAACAGAAGGCCTGATGGTTATCAGTTGCGGTGTCATACAGGGGGTTTTTCTCAATGTCGAGGAAGGCTGCTCCAGAGCCACTATTTCAAGCATACTACGTCATCGAGTGCCGCCGAAGGACTGTTCCAATGTCCAGCATACTTAGAATTCTACCGAGGCCGGCGTACTTCGTAGTGAGACATTTCGAGGCTGCACATGTGTAGACTCCACGGTCTTAAAATCCCCACAATGCTTTGCGCATGGACCAATTTCCAAATCTTTGGCGTAAATCGCGCTCCATTTAAGGCGGGGCCTCGCATATGACGCACACCTGCACACCTGTTGGCCTGTTCCACAATTCTTTGTTTTCCGAGGCTAGGAAGGATTCTTGCCTCGCCTCTGAAGCAAGTGACTCATAAGACATGTGCTACCAAGCAAGCGTCCTCGACATTGAGAAACACCCAGAGTTTGGTGAAAGCTAGAAGCTGGTATTCTTCCATTTCTTTTTTACTAGCACAACCTTGTTTTTGTGTTTTGTTGGAGTTAACGATAATCTCATTTCAGTTAGAATCATAAAATAAAGTATAGCTTGCAGGTGCATGCTTGTCTGCTGTACTGTAGTAACAGTTAGAATAATGATTGAGGTGGATTTGTTGGTGTCTTTCCAATTTTAAATCTGAGAGGAAAGCATTACATACTATTTTCCATATTCAGAATCAGGAGATTTACTAGTTTTAAACTCATCGCTTTATGTAGAAACAAATGTGCAATGTTCCACTGGAGCATAAGTGAAACACAGCTCTAGAATAAGAAGTTCATATTTGACTGTAAAGCTGATTGTACTGTACTTTTGATACCTAATATTATCATCGAAGCAGAAAGAAGCCAACAGATTTCAAGTAACAAAAACACAACATAATTGTTTGTACAACCACAACATTGCTAAGAATACACACTAAGAATAGGAGACAGAGCAGTATTGGTTATACAGGTTTGAGGCAAACAGGTGGAGTTTCCAAGGTGACAATGAACACATTTTTCCGGTGTATCTATTGAGTCACGTGACTTCATTGGACGCCTAAAGAATGACTTACTGATGATTCTCATGTAAGACATTTTGTCCCGGCCTAGAAAGAATTTGAGCAATGATGACTGTTTTATTTAATTTTCTAAATACAGTAGCATACACCCAGAGCTGTTGCACTGTACACCTATTGTGCAAAGTTGTTTGCAGAGTCATGTTGAAAGACTTCACAGCTGTAAGAAAAATGCATTGTTTCAATATGAACTCAGTTTGACGTTTGCATTGATGTCTTGATAAGGTGACTCATGAAATAAACTCTTCGTAATGACGGGGAATCTATTATACTTGGCCAGTCACAAAACACATTTATAAAACAACAATCTATTTTAAAGATCGTTGCACGTTATATATTGTTGGTTACTGGAATGCATGTACCATAGCATGAAGATGTCAACTTAATGATTTAAGCATACAAGGTATTTTTGATGCAACTAGTTTCACTTCTACTGTACACACACACACACACACACACACGCACACACACGCACACACACACACACACGCACACACGCACACACGCACACACACACACACACACACACACACACACACACACACACACACACACACACACACACACACACACACACACACACACCGTAAAGTGAATTAGACCTACCAGCTCACTTATTGCACACTGTTTTGGAGTTTGAAGTAAATCCCTCAAATGTTAATGACTACATTTAATGTTCAATTGGTTTAGCCCAGAACTCTGTGACTCTCCCTTGAGTAAATGAAATAATGCTATTAAAATATTCTGTGCCTCTATAGCCTTTAAGTCATAAGGCTTCAAAATCTTATTTTCACCGACAATAACCTGTCTGGTGACTTTTCACCTGTCCCATTTGTTTTGTTTGAGAAACCTGCCGCCCAATTGTGCAACGTTTATTCAGAAAATGGTATCTGCATTACAGTTGCCTTGGATTTTTATTAAAAAAAAGGCGGTGTGAGATAAGATAGGAAAATTATGACTTGATTGGGATTATCCCCACAGGCTTGTTTCGCAAAGATTTCTCAGTTTGACTTCTCAGTTTGACAGTTCAACCAAAGTGTTTTTACCGTCTTGCACAAGCGTAAATGTGGATGAAGTTCTGGTTAAATATGTCTCACGAAGGCAGTCTGTTCTCAAATTGCCTCTGCAATAATAACATGTAAAGCACTGATTGATTTGTTCCACCAAAGCAAAGACACTAATCTCATTTAAATCCTTATTGATCTCTGTCTTTCCCTAATATTGCATGCACTGATCCTTGTGTACACAATCTGTCTATCTCTGTTTTAAGTGGGTCATGGTCAGCGACACCTTATCATAAGAAACAACATCCTGTCAGTGATTTGCTCTGAAGGTTGATTTTAATTAGAATGTTGTTTGACTACACAAGTATGTAAACAGCGACATTAAAATATGCCACCTGGCTGAAAAATAATAAAGACCTTGCCTCACCACATGTTGAACTGTTTTTGACATGGGATGTTGAGTATGCGTGTATGCTTGGTCTTCAAATGGCTAAACTTGTGAGAAGAAAATGGATACTTTAATATTCTGCTTTATGATTTTCTTTAACTAGCCAATGATTGTGTGTTTTCTGAATTTCACACATTTGTTGAGGAATAAGACACAGTAGTTGATTTCAAATTCATGAATATCCAGATAGGCATTCATTGAGTAATTATTACTGTAAGTATGACTCCCTCTAAAGGCAGTCTTGATTATTAAAATGGCACCAACCCAAAACCTGCCAAACCAGCACATGAAACCCAAACAAGTTAACTTGGGTTGCAAGCAAAAACACACAGAAATGTATTTAATCTCTGCTTTGCTGCACCGTTTGATACTATCTCCAGTATGGCACCTTGTTTCTACACTGAATTTTATTGTTAGAGATCCTTTATTTTCTCTTTGTCACCAAATGAGCTCCTGCTGGTGACATCCCTGAGAGGAGGAAAGGCTTTGATGTGGTTGGACAGAACCTGAGGAGATGTGATGGGTACTTCTGTGGGCTCTTGCACTTCAAGAACATCATCAATGAATCATCCTTTCCGCTGTCGCAGCAAATCAGATGTATCTTGCATCTCTCACCTCGCCAGCCTGTTCGAGTCACAAAGACTGAGAGATACCTTTGATCTCATTCAGTAAACACGGGTTCCACTGGGCAGCGTCAGCTCTCAGGTTGAGGAGAAACCAGAACTCATATCTGAAATCTGGTGCAGCAGAAACATTTGCAAAGTCAATCTTTCCCATTTTTGCGATTCCTGTTGGGTTTTTTACAACTCATCATGTATATCACCCTATTGTTCTGTACTCACAAGTACAGAACCCCAAAAAACCCACATTTGTATCAAGAGGAAAAGGATCAAATTAAAATCTGACAGTTAAGGCTTTAAGGAGAACACCAAATATCTTGATACCTCTGATCAAATACCATTATATATGAATAATTCACTGTATTGTGTGGTTGACTATTGGCACTTTTCCAACATGATTACACAAAACAATATTTGATCAAAAATCATTAATAATGAGGATATAATGCTGAGTTGGTTATAGAAAATGGTATGCATAGCTATCCAGTTAGAAAACAATTACATATCTTTTGCATAATGCAGTCCTTAAAACCAGGAAAAGACACTTCTTTAATACAATATCCAAAATGTAAGATGATATCTTGTCTCTTGCTACAATATTGATATAATGTCAGTATACTGTCCAGCCGTTGATCGCAGAAAAATCCTTTGCATCCTTTGTCAATCAGTGTCAAAGGGCTTTGAGTACAGACATGCAGGTTACATTGCAGCAGAGTCCAATTTAGTTTGAGTTTGAATCTGGGACTTGCTCTTCACACTGATTGGTTGGAGGGTAGGATGGTAATCACAAAAGCCGCGTTCACACCGCAGTACTTTTCCCACTTTAGTTCCGATATAGTTCCGAAATGTCGCGTTCACACCAAAAAGACCCGGAACTAAAATTAGTTAATCAGAACCTTTTTTACCCCCTTTCCCGTCCCTGCTAGAGAGCAGGGACTTTCGTGGGAGAAAAAGGTTCCTATGTCTGATTGGCTGGGCGGAATGGAAACCACACCCCGTAAAACTCCCAAAAAGTTTTGTGAGGCCGCCATTTTATTATCCTAGCATTAGCATTATTAGCATTAGCATTAGCCCAGCGCACAAACGCAGAGAGACTAACTTATGGCAACACAAAAGAAAACATGGGAGCGGTGGAGTGATGAGGAGGTGTCGGCGTTCTGGCGATTTACTCGGAAGGCTTCAGTAGAAGCTGCTGGGACTCCCAGCAGCTTCTACTGAAGCCAGTCCCCAACTCCGGGGACTTCCGGCCGGGGACTTCGGGTGGCAGTATACGCCGTGAAGTTGTTTGCGGCCTGCCAGTAAACCCAAAGCAGAAGAAGAAGAAG